TTTATTTTTTTTCATTTATGATTTAATTTTTTTTTTTTATTTATTTTATTTTATTTTATTTTATTACCTAATTTATTTTTTTATATTTTTTATTATTTGATTTTGTATATAATTTAATTTTGTAAATAATTTTAATTTTTTTTATAATGTTTATAATTCAATTTTTGTTCAAAATTTTTTTTTTGGCAAGGGGAGAGTTAATTAATACTTTATTAATAAATAAAAGATTTACAAAAAAAAAAAAATTTTAATTATTTAAATTATTTATAGCTTCTCTCATTTATATTAATTGGAGCAACTCCAGGAACATGTATAGAAATGGGACTTCGATTACGAGCATTTGAAGATAATGAAGATAAAGAAAGAGAGATTAATCCAAATGATAAAGTCATTTGTACAATTGAAATAATTAATAATCCCGGAACATCATCGATTTCAATACCAAATTCACCAAGCGATTCATCGACATCAACTCCAACTCCCATCATCACTTCAACAACAACCAAAAAAAATACAACAAAAAATACAACAATTACAACAAATAAAATAAATACATCAAAAAATAATAATAATAAAAGTAATAATGTTAATAATAATAATAAAGTTAATAATAATAATAATATTAAAGATAATAATAATAATAATAGTGATAATAATAATAATAATAATAATAATAATAATAATAATAATAATAATAAGAACCCTAATAAAAAGAATAACAATAAGAATAAGAATAATAGTAAACGTAAACAAAAAATGAAGGTAAACCCTAACGCAAATTTAATGCATAGATTATTTACATTTTTAGGGGCGACATTAAAAGCCGAAGAAAGAGATGAAAGACAATATTTTGAAATTAGTTTAGAATTAATAGCTGGATCACCACTAACTCCACCTTACACACCGAATGTTAACGATGAAATTCGTAAAAGATATCCTCATTCAAGAATTACCGGGGAACCATCAGTTGAGGAACTTGGCAAAGTTACAAAATTTATGAGAGGTCAAAGGGTGACGTTATATGCCACGAGTAAAAGTTATTTCGCCAAACATATTACAAGTTGTTTAACCACTTGGGGAACTGATATTTCTCATGTACCAATAAGAGAAGATGAAATTGAATTTATTCCTAATAATAAAACTATATCCACGATATTGGCGACACCAATCTTATCCCCTTCGTCACCATCATCAACATCAACCTTAACATCATCATCATCATCATCGTCATCACCTGGAATGACGAATGATTCCACCCCCGTTTGTAAAAACAACAACAACAACAACGACAAAACAACAACCGATAATTTACCACCTCAAGATATAACAACATTACCTCCTACATTCATTATAATTGATGATGACATAGAAACACTTAAACAACAATTATTACAATTTCGTAATACTCCATATCGAGGAGCAATTCCATATCAAGGAATATCATATCAAGGGATATCACATAAAGGAATATCACATCATGGAATTTCACAAATTTCAGAAGGAGGTGGAAGAGGTGGTGGTAGTGGCAATGGTGGTGGAGCCTCGTCACCATCATTAACAACAACAACAACAACATCATCATCATCATTCTTAAATACCAGAGCGAAACGTCATAAAACCACTCCAGTACTTCCACAACAAACCACTGCCATTATACATTTCACTTCATTATCAAATTATAAATCCGTTAAAGATTCGGTTCAATACATGATATCATCTTATATGTCAATGGATAATTGTGTTATGGGTGTAGGACCATTATTACCTCAAGTATTGGTAATTCCCAAACCGGCTGGACCTCGAAGATTTTTAAATGCTTTATATACCACCATAAATAAGATCGTGGTAGATCCCGTTTATATTCCAATTGCCACCTCACCTATGAGTCCGGGTTCAAGATTTACTAGTGGATCACATATCATTGATATTGATAGTGATACTAATCCTTATCATCATCTTCATAATCATTCTAATAATTATAATAGTGGTGGTAATAGTGCCCATCATCATAATCAACATCACCATCATCATCATCATCATGGTAATAACAGTAATAATAGTAGTAATAGTGGTAATCATTATCATAAAAATCTTAGTAGTGGTGGTGGTCATCATTCATTAGAAAAAGTAACGGAATCATCGAATGATTATTTCTCTGATGTACGTTCACCATCATCTAATGTTAATAATAATAATAATAATAATAATAATAATAATAACAATAACAACAATAATTTAAATAATATCAATAAAACTCCACGATCAAATACTAATAGTCCAAATCCTCGACCACCGGGTGTAATAATAAATCCTCCGAAAGAAAATAGTAATAATAATTATCGAACGAGTCGAGGAGTTAATATTCATAAGAATAAGAAGAAAGATAAGAATAGTGATGTTGATGATGATTATAACGATGATAATGATGATGATGATAATTGTAATAGTAATAAATCTTCATCATCACTATCCTCGTCATCACCTGGATTTGTACCAGTGGCATCATCAACAACAACAATAACAACAGCAACAAAAGGAACAACGCCTATAACACAAATAACAAAAACAATACAAACCACCACCACCACATCTATTGATGATAATAATATTAAAATTATTTCGGAAGTTCCAATAGTTGATAATGTTATAAATAATAATAATAATAATAATAATAATAACAGTAATAATCGACCACAATCACCATTAAAACAAACATCTCAATTAATTAAGAAGGATGATAATAATAATCATTCAAATACTTCATTATCATCATCGAATACGAATTCTACCATTAATCCGATTTCTACTTCCGCTACTATTACTACTACTACCACCCAAATCACCACTCACTTTTAGTGGTGCATCATCACCTACTTTACCTGTTTCACCTACTTCACCACTTCATCCAACATTAAATAATAATAATAACAATATTAACAGTAATAATAATAATAATAATAATAATAATGACATACTTTTTCCATTTCCATCATTACCCACTTCACCTCCTCCATCCCAATTTACCAACGTTCATTTATTAAATACTTGGATATCAAAATTTGAATCTTATTCAATATCATCCAAAAGATCTTGTTTCAATTTACCACCGGAATCTAGAAAGGATCATCGATGTTTCCCATTTTTGGAATATTTCGTTTCAATCTTTGAATCAATTAATCAATTGGGTCAATTGAAAAAATTAAATTCACCTGAATGTTTGGATTTCGCTTTAAGAATGTTAAATGTTATTAAAATTGAACATACTCATTATCACAATTTACACGCGATATCATCTTCACCTTCTTCCACCTCTACTTCTAATTCTACTTCTAATTCTACTCCTACTTCTTCGTCATCGTCAGTAATAATTCCACCTATTGTACTTCATAAATCATTAGATACTCCATTATCAATATTATTGAAAGATATCTTGTTACCATTAGAACAAAAACATTTATGTGATTATTTATGGGCCCCAAGTAATAT